GACTGAGCCACCCAGGCGCCCACACACCATTGTTTTTTAAAAACGATTTTCACTGGGGCGCCTGGGTGGCTCAGTCGGTGAGGCCTGCAACTCTTGATTTTGGGTTGTGGGTTCAAGCCCCATGTTGAATGTAGAGATTACATAAAAATAAAATCTTAAAAAAAAACCACAGAGTTTTAACTGAAAAAAAAAAAGATTTCACTGACACACGATAAAATGCCACAATGGCTTCTGATCTACTGTCTACTTTTACCAAACAAGATTAATCTAGATTTTCCTAAAATAGTTTGACTTTCTCATTTTCTACTTTCACTTGACTGAAAAGGCTTTGCCCTGATACTGCTCTCAATTTTTAAGATTGTTTTGAATAATCCTTATGAAATCCCAATTGTTACGGCAGAAAATATCTTCTTTTTGCTTCTTAACTACATCTGTTTAACTTTCCTGCTCATTAGTGAAGAGTACAAATACAAATTCTACGGGGCGCCTGGGTGGCTCAGTTGGTTGGGCGACTGCCTTCGGCTCGGGTCATGATCCTGGAGTCCTGGGATCGAGTCCCGCATCGGGCTCCCTGCTCGGCGGGGAGTCTGCTTCTCCCTCTGACCCTCTTCCCTCTCATGCTCTCTGTCTCTCATTCTCTCTCTCAAATAAATAAATAAAATCTTTAAAAAAAAAAAAAAACAAATACAAATTCTTCTTTTACCCTTCACTCTGGATTCAAAACCTAGAAAAATGTCTTCATAATACGCAGCATGGGCACCAGCCAATTCCATTTGTTTCTGAAATCTGTCTCCCACACTGGGGCACATTAAGAGCTTGGTTTCTCTGCAGAAGCTTTTGTGACCGTTCCTTTGTTCACTTGGGAACAAGAGCATGACACTCCTTGAGGAGCTAAAGGTCCGGCTTCCATGTTTCTGGAGGATTCTAAAGCTTAAGAAGTCATCCTCTTTGATCATCTACAACAGGACATGGCAGTCCAGGTTTGTCGACTGAGCCCAGTATTTAACTCCAACAGGAAAACATAGTTTGTACTGAGGGAAGTTCTCCCTTGGTGTCTGACACAGACTACAAAATAAAATACTCCAGAAGAGACAGACCTGGCAACACACACACACACACACACAGCCTCCTGGTAACTTAGGTTTCACCATTTTTAAGAAAATGAGCCCAGAATACTTCTTGGGAAGGTCGAAGAATTGGCAAGACAAAAATCAGCCACACCAGACGGAATTTGAGGAGAGCCAATGTTATCAGCAAGCACCTAGCCTTGTATACATACTAGTAAAAAAACAGCCTTTTCTAAAACAGCTCGTTTGTCCATGGCTACTTGAATTAAAACTATTACAGTAAAGAGAAAATTTGAAAGTAAAATTATTTGAACTCAGATTCTTATCCTTTTCTAGAAGTCAACAATGATTAGGAAATCTTGTTTTAAAAGGAGTCGCTATCTTAAGTTTCTCTCAGGCCATTTATTCCCTCTGCTCATCCCCTGGCTGGGGAAAACGGAAGAGACACCAGCGCCCCTGGAGAGCTGAGAAGGAAAATCTTAAACTCCAGAGCTCCTTCCCTAGACCCAAGACGCTCAGAACGTGGAGGCCATTCTGCACACCTGGCAAAACTGCAGACGCCATCCGCGGGGGAAAGCATGAACGTGACTTGCTACCCAATACTGCTTTGCTTTCCCCCCAGAAATCCCAAATATTCCTTAATGTTAACCGAAATTCTGCTGTCCAACGGATCTGTTGATTTTTTCCCAGCCACATTTACTTCTGAGAGGAAACCTGCCACAAGTAAACGCTGGACTGTTTTGGTCTTGGGGTTTATTTTTCTCATTTTCACTGGCTTCCTTTACTTTAGGGGGGACAGGGTGGGGGGGACATGCCAATTCCTAATTTCAGGTAAAACGTGAGGTCAACCTTCGGAACCTCCCTTCTCAAAACAGGTAGCTGCCACACCGTCCTTGCCACCGATAGACAGAAGACGTCAGCGGCCGGATTTCCCCTCCTTACAGCCCCCGGCGTCCACAAGGCCCCCTCCGGACACAGCGCTCTCCCCGCGGGGACTGGAGCCCAGGCTGGGGCGCGCCCCGGCTCCGACGGCCCGGCCCCCGGCCCGGCCGCCCTGAACCGGCCCGGCCGCCCCGCACCCGGCCCGGCGAACCCGCGGCGCCGGCGGTCGCGGAGCGGCCGGAGGAAAGGCCGCAAGCCCCGGGCCGGGAGGCGGGAGGCGGGCCGCCGCCCCACAGGCCGCGCCGGTAAATCTGCTGCCTCATCCCGGCGCCCCGCTCCCGCTCCCGCCCCACTCACGATGCTCTCGGCCATGGCGGCCGCTCCCGTCTCCGGGCTGGAGCCCCGGGCCGCCGCCGCCACCGTCGCCTGCCGCCCCGCGGGCCTCGAAGCCCCGGCCCCGGCCTCAGCCCCGGCCTCCCGCCGCCGCCGCCACCGCCGCTCCAGCTTCGCCGCCGGCCGCCACCGCCGCGCGACGTCCGGCGCCTCGCCCAACGCGCTCCGCCGGCCGCGCAGCCCCGAAACCGAGTTCCGGCCCTCCAACGGCCCGCGCATGCGCAGGCGGGGCGGCCCCGAATCCGCGGGAGCGGGGGGCGGGGCGCGCGGGGTCCTGGGCTCCGCGCCGCAGGCGGAAAGGAGGCCCCAGGGAAGAACACTTCGTTCGTGACCCGCGCTCCTTTCCAAAAGTCCGGGCAACGCAGGAAGGTCTGAGAAGAAACAAAAACAAGCGTCCGAGTCTCGCCCAGAAATCATCATTGCTGGGTTATAATTGGGGGAAATTGCATATGCCCTAGGTCCTGCGGGTCCCATGCAGAGAGAGGCATCCTGTCAGGACGGTGACATCACACCGTCCTGATCTGGAAGAGTGAAGAAGGCATTTCCACGAATCTAACACAAGAGAAACAACTGAATTTAAACTGCATTTCAGGGGCGCCTGGGTGGCTCAGTCGTTAGGCATCTGCCTTCGCCTCAGGTCATGGTCCCGGGGTCCTGGGATCGAGCCCCGCATCCGGCTCCCTGCTCCGCGGGAGGCCTGCTTCTCCCTCTCCCTCTCTGCCTGCTTGTGTTCCCTCTCTCGCTGTGTCTCTCTCTGTCAAATAAATAAATAAAATCTTTAGTTTTAAAAAAATGAATAAATAAACTGCATTTCAGGGCAGCGTCCCTTGCCACAGAGATGGGATATCCTGAGACCTACCCCCAGGACCGGCTTCCCAGGCCCCTGACCAGGCAGGAGGGCCTCCTGCTGGGGTCCAGGGCTCAGCTGTCAGCCTCTTGTAATTCGTCATGGTTTTCAACGGGGAGTCCCCCGTTTTCATGTCACACCAGGCCCTGCAAATTCTGGAGCGGACCTTTCCCAGGCCTTTGGGGAAAAGTTACAAAGACGTCCAGGAGGCCAGAATCTATGTTGTTTTTTTTTTAACCCCAAGGCTCAACTCCAGGTTGTGTTTATGTATCTCCTGTGCTGAAAAAGTCGCCCTCGTTTCCTCCCCATCGCCACTCCTTAAGTTCCCTGGGTTTGTATCACTATTAACAGTATCAGTGTTGACAACACAATCTGTTCTATCATCTTGGTTTCAGCCTCTGGTTCAGCTTGCCTATTCATCCCAACCTCAAGGATCTATTACTCTGCGTGCGGCATGGCTAATGCTGGGAAAGACTGCAGAGGCAGGAGAGATCCCCACCCTGATGGAATCTACCAGCAGGAGGCAGCTTGTAAACATAACAAATATGTTAAATATACAATGTGCTGTAGCCAACAACTGTAGCAGAGGAGGGGGTGGAGAGTGAGAGAGGCTATTTTACATAAACCGGTCAAGAAAGACCTCTCTGAGGAGATGAGGTGTGAGCAGGTCCCAGATAAAGTATCCGAGGGAAGAGTGAAATAGGACGTGGGGAAAGCATGTGCAAAGGCCCTGGGGCCTGGGAAGTGCTGGGTGCTCCAGGAACAACAAAGCGGCTGGTGTGGCTGGAGCATCCTGAGTGAGGGCAGAGGAGGGCTGGGTCGGGAAGAACCATGTGAGACATGGAAAGGCCTTTAGGTTCTATTCTGAGTGTGTTATGTTAGAAAGCCTTTGGAGGGATGAGAGCAAAGAAGGCATGCTTTCCGTTGTGTTTCAGAAGGATTCTCTGGAAGCCGAATGCACAGGAGACAGCATGGAGAGGCAGAAAGAGGAGCAGGGAGACGAGGGGGAGAGGCCATAGCCCGGAGGACGTAAGGCTGCGCGGCACGAGATCCGAGAAAGGAGGGAGAGCAGGCAGGATTGCCTGAAAGACCAGGGTGCCGGGCTGCATTTCGCCGACACATAAACTTCCGCTCTTAATCTTTCCTCTTCTTCTTTACAGAATGGCCTCTGATCTTTTCGCTTCTCTTCTATCCAAACGTATTCATTCTACAGAAGGGCAAGACTCCCGCTTCTCCACGAGGTCCCCTGGGGCGCTCCCGGGCAAGCACTGCGTGACAACAGGTGTGTTATCTGCTGTTCGCTACTTACCTTTTTAACCTCCTCCACGGTACTGGGAAGGTATTATGTTGACTTTTTTTTAAGTGATATGAGTAGTTGTATCACTTTGCTAGGACTGCCTTAAAATTCCACCGGGGGGGATAACTTCAATTTATTTTCTCCTGGTTCCGGAGGCTGGAAGCCGGAGATCGAGGAGACAGCCCGTCGGGTTCTTTGGAGGCCGCTCTCCTCGGCTGGCAGACCGCTGTATCTCTCCTCTGTGCTCAGGCGTCGCTGGTACCTCTGTGTGCCCCAGTGTCCTCTTCGTAGGAGGGCACTGGCCTCATTTTAAGTGCACTGCCTCTTTAAGGGCCATCTCTCCAGATCATCTTCTGAGGTTCTGGGGGTTGGGAACCTCAACATATGGATTTGGGGGAAACGCAACTAAGTCCCTCCCCGTGCTGGTAACTGTAAATTCATTCAGCATCGCCCAGTATCAGGACAGGAGTGAGACACTGCTGGAGAGGTGATTGTTGTCACCCCGAGAGCCTGGCCTTGGAGCTGGATGCAGTAACCGAGGGGGTCTGGGTTTGTCACTTCGAGGAAGAGATGAGTGAAGGCTTGGCTGCATGGGATCAAATCTGCAGCTTTTGTCTTTGCCCTGAACTGCAGCCTGCCACACCACACCACAGCCTGAGCCCTCCCTTCACAGCGGGAGTCAGGTCATGATGCTCCTTCACCCCATGCCCTCTCCCTCGGAGGGGACCCCACCTGAGAAAACCCACCTGGCTCCTTCCCCTCCCTTCCCCACGTTTCTCCCCTTCCTCTTTTTCTTTTTCTTTTTTTGTTTTATTTATTTATTTATTTATTTATTTATTTATTTATTTGACAGAGGGAGAGACACAGCAAGAGAAGGAACACAAGCAGGGGGAGAGGGAGAGGGAGAAGCAGGCTTCCCGCGGAGCAGGCAGCCTGATGCCGGGCTCGATCCCAGGAACCTGGGATCATGACCTGAGCCCAAAGACAGATGCTTACCCGCTGAGCCACCCAGGCGCCCCCTCTTTTTGTTTTTTTAATTAAGATGAAATTCCCACAGCTTGCAACCATTATTCAGTGAACAATTCAGTGGCATTTCGTGCTTTCACAATGTGATTAACCACCTCCTGTATCTACTTCCCAAACATTTCCGTCACCCCCAGAAGGACACCCCACACCCATTCAGCAGCAGCTCCCCATTCCCCTCCCCCAGCCCCGGCAACCACCAGACTTACCTGTTCTGAGTATTTCATGTCAATGGAATGATATGTATGTGCAGTTTAGTGTCTGGCTTCTTTCGCGAGAGTTAACGTTTTCCAGGTCCATCTGCTTTGTAGCAGGGATCAGAGCTCATTTTTATGGCTGAGTAATATTCCATCGGGTGCATAGAGCACATTTTGATCATCCATTCTTTGATTGATATCTGGGTTGTTTCCACCTTTTGGCAATTGTAGGTAATGCTGCCGTGGATATGTGTGGATTTGTATCTGTTTGAGTCCCTGTTTTCAGTTCTTTGGGGTACATACCTAGGAGCCAGACACCTTACAGTGAGGCCCTCCCCGATCCCCTTGCATAAGATGACAGCCCCCTGACTCTTCACCCTCCTGTTCTGGCTTCAGACCTCTGACGACCACCGTGTAAAATCACATATATTCACCTCTTCCCCCCCCCTCGCTTTATGACTTCCTCTTCACCAGAGGTAAGGTCCTGCTGACTAGGGGTTGACAGGTTTTTCCTCTGCTGTATCGCCAGGACTCAGGACACTACTGGACTTCTATCAGTGATCCATTGTCCCATTTATCTATTGTATAATTATATATCTATTGTAAATCTGTTGTCACAATGATGCTGTGAAATGAACTCTTTCAAAACTTAGTGGCTGGGCGCCTGGGTGGCTCAGTCAGTTAAGGGACTGCCTTCGGCTCAGGTCATGATCCTGGAGTCCCGGGATCGAGTCCCGCATCGGGCTCCTGGCTCAGCAAGGAGCCTGCTTCTCCCTCTAATCCTCCCCCCTCTCATGTACTCTCTCTCTCTCTCTCATTCTCACTCTCTCAAAATAAATAAATCTTTAAAAAAAAACAAAAAAAACTTAGTGGCTTCACCACAACAGCCATTTACCAGCCTCCCGATCCTGCAGGTCAGGAATCGAGACTGGGCTCAGTTGGGGGGTTGTCATGCCGGAAGCTGGGGGTGGGGGGCATGAAACAAGAACACAAATAACTACAAAACGAAGAGAAGAGTGTCCCAAAAGAAGAGGGGAGGCCTCCACTTGCAGGGCAGGATGTGGGGATTTCAGGGGACGGCAAAGGCCAAGGGCACGTGAGAGCTGGGCTGCCTGGGGCCTCAAGCAGCCCTAGTGGCTGGATTGGGTAAAGTGAGGAAGAGAGGCTGGGGCTCGAATGTCAAACAAAAGAAGCCAAGGAACGGCAGGGGAGAGGAATGTGAAGACAGGCTGGGCAGTGGCCTCACCCAGGGGTCCCCCACAGCCTCCAGAGGTCCCTGCAAGCCAGAGACCAACATTCATGTCATAACTTCACAAAGGCATGGGGGAGGTGAGGAGAGCTATGTGCCCGTGTTCTCCCAGCACTGGTAGTGGGGGGGGATCCGCTCTGAGCCTGCCTTCCCACCGTCACGCAAGCAGAGGAGAGAGGACAGGGCAGGGCAGGGTCAGGGAGCCTTGAGCGCCCCTGTGCGCGGGGCAGCTGCGTGGCCCGGGTCCTTCTAAGGACTAGGGCACAATGCGGACTGTGACAGAGTCTGCCCCTGCGAAGAGAAGCTCGGGAGGAGGAAGGAGCCCACGTCCCTCAAAACCAGGAAGGACGTGATCTGGCCAGTGGATACTGTGTCATTCTTACAGTGAATAACTTGGGGGATGACCTGGCATTTAACTGCTGGTGGGTCTCCCAGGATTGTGTCTGCGAGCCAGTTCTCAGGGGTCTGATGTCCTGGGTGACCTGAAGGAGCAGCCACTGGCCCGCCAGGCCGAGGCCCGCATGGACGGGGGGCCCTGTG